GCTTGTTTTACAACGTCGTTGCCAAGCGACGAAAACCCAACCCCGATGGTAAACACCGGGGGGGGGGGATTCCCGACATTCCCCTGAGGGCGGGAGGCTGCCACCCATCCAAGTCGTACCCGAACCAACTCGATCTCGACGATAAACGAACCTCGTGATTCAGGTAAGCCCAGGTGCGGAAGGCAGAGCGGGATTCGTGCGGCGTGCGTAATGTTCCAGGCACGACAAACTAACTACAGCAAGGCGAGGGCAGGAGCCGCTGTCATCGTGGTACTCCAGACGAGATAAAAACACTGATACAACTTTCCCCTTCCGCACGCGTACGTCCTGTTCAACCCCGTCATGCCCAATCCATCCAACGACTCTACAGCGCTCACAATGCAAACATCCAAGCCGTCAAAACGAATCCGGGGATGCTAACAAAACAGGCTGCTCCACAAACCCCTCCAAAAAGGTCAAACTCCACCGAAGACAGGGTTGTTGTAAACAAAAAGGACATCCGCTCGATGGTACAACCCGACGCACCAAAAGAAAACCACAGCCAACTTCCGCCGAAACCCTAAGTTATTCCAATACCTGCAAGAGGGCCTTGTTGTTGGCCCTACGTCCAAGCAGCCCCTGCTCTTCGAGCTGGATGAGGAGGCCGCGGGGCTTCTTAGAAACGAGGTCGATTACCGGCTGATTGTCCTGGAAGTCGATCATCGTCCAGTCCAGCCTTACAAAAAGGAAGATCAAACGCGGATCACCAGCGGCGCATGAGGCGCGCAGGATTGGAAGTAAGCACGCAAAAGGCGAGGACGACAAGCGGCGGAGGGATGGGACGAGAAAATGAATGGTAAATTCCGCAACCAGACTTGTCCGTACACGCGGAAGCAATTCAAGCAGACGGATACCCATGTAACTCGTCGGGACATACGATAGGTCGAGTGCCAGTCAGTCCACCCTGACGGAGGCGTGAATGAACGATTGGAGCCCCGCGGAACGTGAGAGTAGGAATTCAACAGACCAAGGGGAATCTGTCTGTCCAATCAGAGACAGCGCCCACAGACAGGAGTTCAACAGACCAACGCCCACAACAGACCGTAGGCACTCATGGAATGGAAACTCGATCGTCGGTGCGGGTCACGCCCGTACAGAATATGTGGATGCAAAGGCCGACGCGAAAAAGTTAAAAGGGCCGACAAACAAGCGGTAGGCGAGAAAACAAAGCAGCCATAACTCCTGCCGCCTGTTCAGTATCTGAATTAAAAAAAAAAAAAACTCCAGTACATGAAGACCACAAGCACCAAGATTAGGTAATCAGACGAGCACTATATCTCAGGGCGATGACCAAGACGAGACCCTTGAGACGAGGACGTACCCTTCCTTCTCGTACTCCTCCTGCTCGAGGACGAAGACGTGGCTGTTGAACTGCTGCTGCAGCACCTCGTTCGCGAAGTTGATGCACAGCTGCTCGAAGCTGTTGCGTACCATGATCTCGAACCCTGTCATTGTTGGACGTACGTAGCAATCGCAGGACAACTAAGATAGGAAGAAAACACCAGAATGGCGACGACGTGCACAGGCGTTGTTTTCAGGCGCCGAACAGCAATAGGCGGAGATATCCAGCGTGCGCCGAGGCTCGGTGTTTTGCATGAGGTACTCCTCGCACGCAACAAAAAGTTGAAAAGGAGTAGCTGGCCACGAGAGAAAGGGACCGACAGGATCGATCATAACCACGTGGCTGTTACAAATATTGGCTATTCGTACACACAGAGAGGGAGACTCGGTCCCCTCTTTCCATGTCGTGTTGCCATGGAAGTATTTATCTCACCATACAGCTTATGTACGTAGCCTGGCGAATCAAACCGTTGTTCACGCAAACCATCCGCATCTGCAGCTCGATTGTAAAAAAACCAAAGGATAAGTCCAACCTCTCACCGAAGATATCGAGGATGCCCACGAAAGCGATCGTGTCCGCCATGTCAGCGCCACCTCCAGACCTGTGGGCCTCGTTGATCTTGCCCACGAGCCAGTTGAAAACCTTCACCGCCACCACAGACAGCACCAGCGAAGGTGGGGAATATTGTGAACATGGGGAGAGAGGGGAGGAGGGGGGTGGGAGAGATGCAGCAGCTGGGTGTTCAAAACAATATACTCCGAAATACCTGAAATTATCACTTCGAGGAAATTACCGCTTGACAGCCATTTCTCTATAGCTTGATTTAGCTCTCGCCACGCTAATACTCGCCTGCCAACTTGTGCAGCCGAAAAAAACAACGCACCACACCCGTCAAAAACATAACATAAAACACAAAAAAACGTGAGAAACATTCCTACATATCATGCGAGCGCACCAAGATCGACATCTATCTGTCCATCAACCACCCGATTCGCCCCGGCTGATGCTTCCGAACACAGACGCACGCACCCCTCCCGCGCACGCCCACCGCCCTTTGTGATCTCACCTGCCCGTAGACGTGCTTGACGAGGCCGTTGCGGTTGTCCCTGGCCTGGGTAGGGTTCAGCGGGATCTCCAGGAAGCTCCCCCTCCCCGTCATCGCGACCTTCTTGCGCATGGAGGACACGAGGCGGTCTGCGGGCAGCCCGGCCATGCTCGCCACGTCCTCCAGCGCCAGCAGGGGACTCTCCAGACGTAGCCCCGACCCACCCCCGTCGCCTCCATCATTGTCGCCGTCACCGCCGTCGCCGTCGGTCTCCCAGAAAATAATGTTTCCCAGGTGCAGCAAGGCCGCGAGGAGCCGCCAGAGCCCCTCCTGTTCTTCCGAGGTCACTCCCAGGGTGGACAGCGCGGAGGCCAGGCAGTGGAACTCCTCGGCATCATCCACCTGACGCGTAAACGGGATTGGCAATTAAACGGCGTGGAGGGGGGGTCATCGCCGAAGCCAGGGAGTGGAACTCCTCGGCATCGCTCACCTAGAAAATCGTGTGTAGAATTGTGATGGTGCGGGTATCGTGGGTGGCATGGAATACAATAACACAATTGTGCAGACACCGGTCCTCTCGCCTCGCCCCGATCACTTCGAACCGAAGGTGACTCTTCGAAGAATGAGCTCAAAGGCTGAATCAAATCGATTTGAGCATACGGCACTAGAGTAGGGCACCCCAACAGGCCATGTCGCAACAAGAGGGTGATGGTCAATAAACAGTATAGCATGGGAGATACGGACGGACGTAGTAGAGGGTGTGAGAAACTTGAATGTTCCGCACGAAAACTCTCCCCTTGGGGTGAAAATCTCGAGCAAAGCATGTAGAAAGGAGAATACAACTAGTGGTGAGAGAAAACGCTCGGATCACCCTCCCCCACCTCATCGCTCTGCATGAACACGCCTCCCTTCCGAAGCATCTCGAAGTCCGGGGCATCGGCGACGCCCAGGCTCTGGCGAAGCTCGTCCGGCACCTGGTCGATCATTATTACAATCGTAAAGGCCGAAAGGCAAGCAACGAACGGACACTAAGAGCAAGCCACGCGCATGATGCGGAAGTGATGAGTACCGTGGACGATTGAAGAAGTCCAATCATAACGTCTGCGCCAAAACAACAGTCGACCCCCGGTTGTTGTATTGTCTTGTATCGTGTGTACCCGGTACCCATACACCTCATCCCAGTATAGGTATACGGTCACCGGTATCTCGGACATCACACGCACACACAAGACCAACAAACAGCGAGAACCCGTTTGACATAAGAGCGCACACACGCACCAAATTTTGGTATGTACGGTCGCCACCGGCGTGAACCTATGGGTAGTACTTCTATTTCTCGCCACATGATCAATGTGACGTTGGATCCATTGACTCGCCGAGTGTTGAGAAACATCGAAGACAATCGCAAGACGGGTGAACGAAGACGAACGTTCTCCACGGCGGGAATATACTGAGAAAAACAGCAGAGGTATGTCGAACGAAGCCCCCGTCCATCTTCCTGCCGAAAGGAGGCTGCAGCAAACGGAACCTGGCAAAAAAATAAACACATTGCAACACGCCCAAAGAGAGGAATCCACGACTACAACCTCTACGGAGGCTACAGACCCAACCGGAGTACCGAACGGAGTACAGTACGTCTACCAACAAACGCGGTTGCTAGGCATCGCCAGGTGACACACGGCGGAGTGAGAGTTGCAACACAATAGGCGTCCCTCGCAACACATCTTGTTGGGAGCGACGACATTCGAAAAGCACGCAGGATACTGGAAAAAGCACCGGGCGGCGTCCAACCTCAGTTTCGAAGCAGACGACCACAACAACCGCCAACACATCTTGTTGGGAGCGACGACATTCGAAAAGCACGCAGGATACTGGAAAAAGCACCGGGCGGCGTCCAACCTCAGTTTCGAAGCAGACGACCACAACAACCGCCAACACATCTTGTTGGGAGCGACGACATTCGAAAAGCACGCAGGATACTGGAAAAAGCACCGGGCGGCGTCCAACCTCAGTTTCGAAGCAGACGACCACAACAACCGCCGCAACCGCCAAACTCTTCTTCATCATCCAACAACACGGAAAGGACGGAACGGTCTCCGACAAAGGTCTCACCCCCTTGCACAGCTGGTAGAAGACGTGGTAGTTCCTCTCGTTGTGCTCCTGGTGCACCAGGCGGCTCTTCTCAAGCAGGAAGGGCAGCGTCCGGGCGCCGCCCAGCTTCCAGTCCGCGCCGTACTGCAGCTTGATGTACTTGCCTGAGAGGAGGAGGCAGCGCGACAACGGCAACGAGAATTCGCGCACTTACCCTAGGCGTCGCTTGAGAGAACACGAGAACGGAATCAGAAGTGAGGCACTTAGCGAGACGTACTCACCTGCGAGGATGACACAAACGGAACTAGAAGCAAGGCTCTACAGGCTGACGTCAGGCGAGGAGCCGCAACCCACAGGTCCAAACTCGCGACACGGCGGATGGTCAGTAGTTTGAAGGATTTTTGGGGGTCGCCGGTGCCACAAGTAACAGTGACGTACAGAATATGATGCTGTACGCCGCAGGCAAGTGGCAAGATTCGGTAGAATCACGGTGCTTAAAAGAAAACGAATGAGAGAGTCTTTCAACGGCGACCAAATCAAGCAAATGATACGGTACGTGGAAAAACAGCACACCCGGAGTGGCTGCATCCATGTGGCTCCCCTGCTACTGCTGCCGCTGCGCACCGAATCGAGAGGAGTTGTCGTTGCGGACCGTCTTGGCGTTACCGAACGCCTCCAACACCACCGTGGATTCCAGCAGCCGCCTCTCCATGTCGCTCGCCGTGTCCGCGGCGGCCGCCGCAGCAGCCAGCGCCGCCCGCGACGACCCCCCCTCCCCCCCCTTCTTGCTGCTGCCGTCTGCGGGTTCCCCGTTCTCGGCTTCGGCGGTGACGGCCTTGGATGCGGCGATAAGGTACTTCATCACGTACCTTTTGTTGCATGCGCGTGTTATTTTTGGAAACCCGACAACAACAGAGAAAATTAAAGCCAGGGGCGTGAGAAAAAAGCAGATGGACCGATTGACGGGCCGTTGCGTGATTGATATCACAACTCGATGTGCTAAAATCCCGCGCTGCCGTTCACAATCAGCAGCGTGCGCGCGGGGGGGGGGGATGCGCGAAACGGCTGAAACACAACGTGAGAGACGAAACGCACTTAACAAATATACTCCGCGGCCGTCTGCGGACCGTCTGCTACTCGGGCGCGAGACAACCTCCCCCAAAAATTCATTCTGCATGAGCCCCCCCCCCGCCATCTCTTGCCACTTTCCCACACGCAAGACGCAAGACCGTAACCGGCGAAAATCGGTCGAGCTCCGTCCCGGCTTTACCCAAGACATGGAAGGCCAACGTCCGTGGTCGAGAGTAAAACTAAAGCACGAACGACCACCCGAAACCTCTCCCCATTCCCAGCCGGTCATCCAGAGTGAAAATCATCAGGCCTAACAAGCAGTACAGAATAGGTAAAATAGCTTGAGCTTACTTGGCGGCCTCCGTCTTCCCGGCGCCGCTCTCTCCCGTGATGATGATGCTCTGGTCCCGCTTCCTCGCTCCCGCGACGCCGCCGGACAGTCTCCCCGCGGTAGGGTTCGTCATGAAACGGTGCGCTTTGTCCGCCACCGCGTACACGTGGGGGTGGTCCAGAACCTTCGGACGTGCCAAAAAGGGAAGGCACCGGACATACAGTTTATCATCCCCTCATGCGGAAGACACAGAAAAGGCTGCAAGGCCAATTGAAGAGCACGATTGAAGAGCCCGATCACTCTACAGCACAAACAGAGACGGTGCCGGGTTTCGCGACGTTGCACCCGTCTCGTTGGCAGGCATGCCGATACGCACCATTCGGCATCTTTCTCGCCGTGGAAAAAAAAAAACAGAGCTGTCCATTTGCTCCAGCGTATCTTGTATCTAGCGCGATGAAAGTATTTTGGGGGTCAACGTAGCCCCCCCTTCCCAAGCATTTGGAGGTTCTGCCCCAACAGAAGTACTTTGGTCGTGCCCACGGAAATTGCCCGCAAGAATACATTCTTCCGTGGCCCGATCTGCCCCAAAATTGTTCTGACGGTGACCATCACCACCTCCTCAAGTGATAAATGGACACAGACACATGAGACAGACCAACACAGAAAACGACCATACCCAGATTACACTGCATGTAGATAACGACAAACCCTACCGAATCGCTCTTGCTCTCCCCAGGGTGCCCGCCACGCCCGCCGCCGCCACCGCCGGCGGGGCGGAATCCGCCACCGCCCTCGCTAAACGTCACGCTTGCCCCGCCCCCGCTCCCCCGGGGGTCTCGAAAGGACGAATGGTTGCCGCCACCGCCCGCCCCCCAGACCCCGCCCATGTCGCTCCCTCGCGTGTCGTAGCTCCCGCGCTGGTGTTGGGAGCCGTCGTCGCAGTCGCTGTCTTCGGAGCCGTCTTCAGCACCGCCGCCGCCGTTAGCGCAGAGTCTCTCGATCTCGGACAGCCTCCCCACGCCGGCGGTAACCCTGCCCGATTTCGACCAATTAAAAACGTGACTACCAGAGGTTAGAGCTCGGAGGAACATGGGTGGGAAGAGTTGAAAGGTCGAGGAAGTGCGAAGAGGAAGGCGATGGCTGCTGCCGGTAGTCTAAGCGTCAAACTTTATCCACTGGATGGCAACGTTTCGGCAAATGCTCAGAGTTTGCGCAGTACAAATATACCCACGTAAATATCGGGGAGGAAAGCTTACTGGTCGATGTCGCCCATTCGGCTGCACTTGTCCGAGAGAGGGGAGGAGGGGGAGAGGAGGAGGGGGTGGCGCTACACAACACGTTGGAGGGGATGTTCAGCATCATCTGGCTTCGCCTAAATCTACCTCGCGCGAGAAACCAAACACAAAAGTACAGGGTGTAGAGAAAACCATATCCATCGACCGCACCTGCGCTTGATGGCGTCGGAGTTGTCGTGGGGCATCGAGTACAGCAGAGGGATGGTCTTGTACGGGTTGACGGAGATGAGTACGTCCCCCGTGTACGTGTAGATGTCGTCGTTGGAGAAACGAGTGTGGAGAAGGCTCAGCAGAGCGGCCTCGTGGAGGCTGTTGAGCTTGGCCGCATCCTGTGCAGGAGAGAACAAGAACATGTTTGTACGGCGGTGTGAGAAGAGCATGGTAGACGTTTGTGGGGGCGAAGCTTCTGAGATGGCCGCAAGATATACAGGAGATGGACATAACATGGTGGTAAGAAGAGCGCGTCAGAGAAACCTTGATTCCGTGAAGGCTACCAAGTTTCATCGCATCCTGTCCGACGAAAGCAAGAAGAAACGGCACTATGAACAGTAGGGGACTACCACTGGTGACACAGATATCACACCCTCTGGACCAATGTTCAACGCACGATTGCTCCACGAGGAAGAGGACGAATTTCGGAAACATCTCGGCCAGTCGGTTCTAACATTGCCATTTTCGGCACTAGTTTTCCTGCTATGGAGTAGAGTCCGTAGGAATCGGGGCGGCGTATGATATCTGACGCCCCCCTCGAAAAAGATGACACCGCGAAGACAACAGCACAGAGGCCGGCACTAGTAGTTCCCACTACACGCTCTGCCAAACCCCACAGAGGGCGACACATCACTGCTCCGTTTGAGGGCATCGCAACCCTTCGAATGGTGGACATGATAACGAGGATAGTATCCCATGTCCGTGAGAAAAATAGTGACATTGTGAGCGGGCCTACAATAAGTGCGTATGCATTGCGCAGGCTATTTCTGCCGGCCGGGAATGGCCAAGAACACGCCCATGACTTCGGCGAACAGCACGCGAGTTTCACACGTGCGATGCCTTCCACCGACATTGCCTTTTCACGGCGTGATCGCGAGCAGATGAGAACAAAAACACGCACCACAATGGCAATAATGACAGGAGTCTGAGGTTTGGAGCAGCACCAGCGGTTGCTATCGCGAGTGATCATGTTTATCAACGCGCCGCCATCACCCAAACTCTCAGTCGGGTTCCGACTGCAAGGTATTCCTCCAGACACAGCAACATAACGCGGACCCGTGCGCATCTAAATTAACAACCACAGAAGTACGTCTCTAAACACGGTGCAAAAAAGAAATCAGTCGCTCCCATCGCCGAATACAGTCTCCTATAGTGAGAGCCTATTCCTAACAGCAGGCATGGGCGTCATACAAAACACTGCGAGCTACCGGCGGCGGCAGCAGCAGCGGCGATTCTACCGGCATGGTAATCCATGGCGGCGGGATGACCGCGTACGACACTTGAATGAGTCCACCCACTCTCCTATACGCAACTTCATACATTGTAAGACACTAGAGAAAACGCCGCATACATAACAACAACAACAACAAAAAAACTCCGGCTGACCTCGAGGTAGAGCGAATGCGAAGGGTCCCACGCCCTCGTGTGCTCGCGAGGGACGTCGAACGGCTCGTCCTGGATGCCCGGGATGGTCACGCTGGCGAAGTCCTTCGTCGTCCTCCCCAGCCTCGCCAGGCGCCACACGTCTTGTCGGTCGGGGATCCAAACCTAATGACGGCGGCAACAATATTGAGTTGTGCGTGTAGGGCGGACAAGGTGTATCTGTGTGTCTGTGGCTGATTGGCTAGAGCGTGCTGATTGGCTAGAGCGTGCTGATTGGCTAGATAGAGCATGCGTGGTTGAACCCGAGCGGGTCGCGGAGCGTTGCCGGGCGGGCGTCAAAACTTTCACAAATATATGGCGGGTTGAGAATGCACGTTTCTATCGATACGTGTATCTCATCCCGCAAACGTTGTACAATACTGTATAATGGAGTTTATTAAGGCTTGGTGACATCTGCGCAATAGTTGACTCGTCGTCGATTAATGAGTTGATCAGGTTGTGCTTGGCTGTTGATTTCAAATCACGGGCGGCGTGCTAGCGGTCGTGTTGTCCTATTAATACATGTGTTCGCGATACCTGTGTGCGCACGTCAGAGACAAGACATATATGATGCCCCGCAGGTGGGTGCATCTGCAGCTGCCCCTATCCCTGCCGTTTTTTCGTGGTGTGGACTCCAACTCTGTGCCCCAATTTCCCACCCTCGGGGCGTTCGTTCCCCGACATTTTGTGGATCACTAAGATAAACCAGGGACACACGCTCAGTAGAGCAAACGCGTGTGAATATCAAAAAAATGTTCTCAACCGCACGTTGCCCCTGTCCAAAAGTTTGCGTCAACGTCACCGTGCGTTTTTTGTTTCGAGCTGCATCGAGTCTCTTTGTAAGTCGAGGGAACCGAGGAACCGAGGCTTACAGCTATGACATCTACAACTGCAACCATGTGGTGGACATTCTCATGCTTTATCATCTTTCGGGTGGGCTGTTCGCGTGGCATACATGCTGGCAATATTTCGGGAGTACTCACAATTGGCTCCGATAATGCTGCTGCATTTTGATGTCGGTACACAGGGGGTAACGCACCAGCACCAGTGCCGTCCAACACGTATTCCAGTTGTCGCTACTCACCAGGTATACAGTATGATCGTGCACAGCAGTATTATACTGCTGTTGCAGCAATTCCTTGTACAGCATTGGGCCGTTTGCAATATTTATCTTTCCTATGGTAGTCGCCGCGCACATTGCACAAGCACTACTGCTGTACGGACGCCAGTAGGAGAGTGTACAGCAGTCCCGCAGCAGTACCGGGTAGTCTGGAGTGTAGAGATTTGAAAGCATAGAGGACGTACTTGTGGACGCGGTTCATGAACAACACAATCAATAACTTCCGGTTGCGCCAGGCTCACAATAATCCCCACAAACCTAGCGTCGACAACACAGATACTACGGCTGTCTTTCAAACACACAACTGCTGCTGGATGTAGTATGTAGTCAGAGGACGCCCAAAAAAATTATACTGCTGTTCTGAAGTAAAAGAGCAGGTCTGATCCACAGCGACATGTTGCGGGGAACAGGTGAGCTTCGCGCCCTTCCAACACTGCTATGACCGCCGCAGACGATTACACTCGTTGCCAAAGGCCAGAGCAAAGGACTCAACGAGGACCTACACGGTGGTTCTCCTCCCCCTTCCCCCACCAACTCACATGCGAGACGGCCTCGGGGTCCATGTCCAACGTGCGCGTCCGCTCGCTGGTGCTGTTGCTCGAGAATTGGCTCCCCCCGCTAGCGCTGATGCCGTTGCTGGAGAAGGGCGCCTGCTGGTCTTGGCCGCCCTCCATCTCCGTCGCCACCGTCACCCATCCGACGGTGTCCTTCTTCTTCGCCTTTGCGAAAGGCATCGTGGTCTGGCTGTGTTTGCTCCCAGTGGTTCAAGGGCCTCGATCAACACGGGAGACACTGCTGCTGCTGCTGCTGCTGCTGCTGCTGCTGCTGCTGCTGCCGCGCGCGGTTGTCGCCCAGGCTCTGTGTTCCCCCCACGAGGAGGTTCCACGCCCGCCCTCAAAGCTGTGGCGCGCGTGCAAGCGATCGAGGAGGGATAGGGTTAGAGGTATCCCGGTTGGCTGGTGTGTGCGCTTAGGAGCACCTTTGGGTTCTGGGATCCTTGGCCGTTCACGACGCGAGAGGGGAAAGCAGCGATGAGAGGCACCAAGCGAAGCAAGGCAAGTTGGTTAGGCCGCACAAGCAGCAAGACGCTGCTAATCTCTGACCTTTCAGCTCGGTGGGCGGGTCAGCGGCAAACAGATGAAGCCTCGCGCTGATTCTCGGGGTCAGTCTCCAATGTCAGTGCTTCGCGAGTGTGTGTTGCTGAGTCGGTCGAAGAGTGCTTGGGAGGCTATCGTCTCCAAAAAGTGGAAAGGCGAGCACCTACAAACCATGTGTGCGCGTGGGCGTGGGCTTTTATTGTCAACGGCCGTTTGACAATAAGAGGTACACGGCACCTGCGGTGCAACCTCATCTCTGTGCGCTGTACCCTACAATGACTAGAAGGGGGGCATCCGTTCATCGTTGCATCCTTGCAGATTGCAGACGTGCATAGAGATATTGATAAATTAGAGACGTGGTGGTGGTGACGTGGTCCAGGGGGAAGAGAAGAGCCATGGCGTAGCCGACCCTGTCAACCGATTGTGCGACAGTTGCGCGGCAGCGGCAGGCTTCAACGCATGCATCACTGAACGTGGCGGTTTGAATTTCCCGCAGTTTTTCGCGTCCCGAGACCGCTGTGTGAGAACTCATCCTACACGTGCGCTCACTTGCTGTACACAAACCGTTGGTGCATCATGGATTCGGCATCACCACGGTCCGTGCTGCGAGACAGATCCAACGAGGAAGGCTTCGCGACCAAGTCGCTCATTCAGGACTTCCTCCAACCCTCGGTGCGAAAGAAAAAGTATACCAGTTCGTCGCCATCATCATCCAGCACCGCGGTGACCGCTGCTGCCTTGGGAAATTCCGCAGCAGCAGGCGCTTCTGATGCTGGTGCTGCTTCTCCTCCCCCTACCGCCCCAATCATCACGCCAGAGCCATCGCAGGCCGAGACCAACAACCCTGCCGCTTGTTCTGACGGTGTTTCCTCTGGGGCTTGGCGATCAACCACTGCTGTCGGCGCGGTAGCCCCCGATGCCGGCGGCAACACCGCCGCCGCTGCCGTTACGGAAACCACCCCGCCGCTGCGCACGAGACACCCTCCGCCGCCCCCGCTTGATCAAACTCGACCCCGGCCGCCTCCGGTGGCCTGTACCTTGGTGGCCTTTGAGCCGGGATCGCTGGGACTGGAACTAGAGGCAATCGTGGACGACGACAAAGGTCGGAGGCATGGAGAAGAGCACCGGCGCCGGCGCCGTCCCCGCCGGAGGCTTGGCTGCAGGGTGTTCCGGGTCACTCCCGACGGCCAGGCGGCCAGGCACGGGTCAGTGCACCCCGGGGATGCGCTAGTCGTACTGGACGGGTGAGCCTCGAAGTAGACGTGTAGCAATGGGATCATTCTAACATGTAGTCTGTTCAGACAACAGTTGTTCTCGGTGTACGTTGCACGATGGCGCTTGCTACGGCAGTTCCTTGGAGTATCCCGATCGCTCCGCGTACCAATGCTGCAGGCACACACATTCCGAAACGGAGACTTCGGACACCGACAATGTCGTACCGCCGTGCAGCGTGGAAGACACGCCACGGGCAAGAAGAAAATGTCGACAATCATGCACCACTCTCGCTCCGCGTTGGCATCGCATTGTTGGTTTGTTTTGCTCCTTGCCTCACTGCTGTTGTTGTGGTCGAACTATGTAACTACGCGCTGCTGTAGGGTGGACGTCCTGTCGGACCCGTTCGAGGACATCACACATGCGCTGCTCCAGCGCCAGGGGCGACGTAGGCTGATCGGTTTCATGGGCGCGGCGGCCGTAGCCGCCTCTGCCCCTCAGAAGCGCCGGGCACCATCGTCGTCGTCGCCTTTGACCGCGGAGCCCGAAGTCGCCGCGTCTCCGCCCGCCCGCGGTGACACGGCAGCGTTGTCACCGCCCCCCGCCGCCGCCGCGGCAGAAGACTCAAACAACGGGCGGCGGGCTGCGGATATCGCTGCTGGTGCCGCTGCTGCAGTTGAAGACCGAAAGGAGCACAAGCGACGCGATGATCGAGGACGCCGCCGGGAGAGGAGCGATTTCGGGAAGGGCGGGGTTGTCCTTCCAGCAAACGGCCGGCGGGGCGGCGAGAACAATGGCGGCGGCGACGGAAGCCCTGAAGCGACGGCATCGTCAAGCAGGAAGAAACAAGCGGGGATCGGGGGGAGCGGCGGAGGAGAGCGGGGAAGAGTAAATGGTCATAACGGCGAGGTGCCCGCCCCCACCGCTCTCGGCCACCATTCTCGCCGGAGCCGCTCGTCCTCCTTCGCCTCCTTGCCGCCGCCGGGGTCCAAGTTGTTCGGTGCGGCTGCCGCCGACCTCGACTGGCGAGAGGCAGAGCGTCTCCCGCATCCTCGCGACGCGGCAACAAGAATCCAGCGTTCGCGACCCGCCGGAGGAAGCACGACCGGATGCCGGCGGGTCGAGGGAAACGATGACATGAGGACGGAAAACAAGCGGCGTTTCTCTCGCACGGTGAGCAGCACCGCCGGTCTCGGCGAGGCGACGGCGGCGGGGGGCGGGGGGGAGAGCGACGTCCGTCGCGAGCCGGAACGGGAACGCTCCGGTGTTCGGGCGAGCTTCGGCGGTGGTTCGCGTCTCGCCAGCAGGGAGTCGCTCGGGAGCAGCTGGGGCTCGTTCGCGACCACCGGGCGCATGGGCACCGCAACGGCGGGAGGGCGTGCCGCCGGTGGTGGGCTCTACCGCGGCAGGCCCTTGGATGGGTCGAGGGGGGAGTCTCTGCAGCGGAGTCTGGCAGAAGCTTTGGAGGTGCGTGGAACCACATCTATCTCGCGCGCGCGCGGTAGTGCATGGATGGACGGGATGGTCGCGCTGGACACGACGTTGAAGAGCTTTGATTTTCGGTTGCATCTCTTTGTCGCTGTACGTTTTGGAACACCCTGCAAACATATGAGAGAAAAATATATTCTTCATCGCAGACGGGGGCTTTTATTGTTGCCACCAGATGCCAACGTGGTGTTGAGTGTAGTCTGATCGTAGCCGCTGCTTCTCCCCTCATGGGAAGCTTCCCTTTTCTATTGCACCCATCCTGACATTTGGTTGTTTTGCTTCGCGCCATGTTGTAGCTTAATCCGTCCTCTTGGTTTCCGATGTGCGCTGCGGGCAGGACAAGCGTGCGCTGGCTGCGGAGAGGGAGTGGCTGCTGGAGGAGCTGCAGCGCGCGAGAGAGGTGCGCCAGCTTCCCGCTTTTTCTGTGTGCGCCTGTGTCTTTACAGAAAACGCGATCGTTGCGGTGGCGAGGCGCCGCCGATCAAACGAAGAGATAGCAGCAGTTGCAGCCCGACACACACAAAACCGAGCCTATCATGCCTGAAGGCGAGTACGTCAGTAGGTTTGCAAGCAAGGTTGTCTGTCGGCAACAATCGCAACACACCTGCAAGACAATAACAAAAGAGGAACACCCCCTGCCGCCGTTTCGACAACAGATTGTGTCCAACAACGCATCATGCCTGCGTCTGTAGCGGTTCTCTGGTACACGGCTTTCTTCGAACCTTTTTTTCGTTGACGACCAGGCGACTCTCGAGCGAGATGGAGCCCTCGCTGGGCAAGAGGTTCAGACCGACGTGTTGAAGATGGAGGTGGCCGCTCTCGACGGAGAGCTGCGCCGGGCACGTCAGGAGCTGGGGGCGTGCGAGGCCGGGCGCCGAGAGGTATACATGCATGCGATGAGAAGTCCTCGACTTTGTTTGAATATTGCGCATGTGCCGGCCGTACCAGGCTTCCTGGTATTCGCCATCCCTTCTACTCCTTTCCCTTCCAAACGACTACGCAGAGTAGCGAGAACGTTCGCGCTTGCAAGTCTACTGCCTGCCGCCGTGAGCCAATTTAGCTTTTCCAGTAGCCCGAGCGTGAGTCGCACCCCCCCGGGGGGAGCGCTTGGTGCATGAATCCTAATCCTGCTAGCGGGACGTTAGGCTTGACAGCAGAGAATTGTGGGTCAACCAAGCTTGTCGCATGAAAATGGTGCCCAAGGAGAGACAGAGAGACACAGAGAGAGAGAAAGAGGGAGGGAGGGAGGCAGGGAGGGAGGGAGAGAGAGAGAGACAGGGTGGCAACGGTTCTTAAGCCACGGAACATGGCGAGTATCGTGTACCCAAAGAGATGGACAACGAGACAGGCAGACAAAGAGACAGAGATAAAACGAGTGAGAGGGGGAGAAACCGAGAGAATGTGACAACGATCGTGCAACACCGTACGAGTATCATTCCCCCCTCCTCCTTCCCTCCCCCTTCCCGTCCTCACAGCTGCACGAGGCTGCCAAACGAGACCTGGCGCGGCGAGATCGCGACGCCGCCGACCTCGCCGATGCTCTCCGCCGCGAGCGGTCGGCCCGAGAGCGCGACGCCGACGATGCCGCTGCGGCGGCGGCGACCGCAGCATCAGCCAGAGCCGCGGACAAGGCGGCGGCGGCGGCGGGGCGAGCGGCCGCGGCCGACGCCCGGCGGCGCGCCGAGAGCGCGGAGGCACGAGCGGCGGAGTCCGAGGAGAGGTTGGAGGCGGCGAAGGCGGCGGCGGCGGAGGCTGCCGTGGAAGCTTCGGGAGCGTTGCGGCGGGAGCGGGAGCGGCGGGAGATGGAGGTGAGGGTGGGCGGGGAGCGACGGAATGCCATGGGTTTCGGTGGTTTTCAGGTGGTTCATGACGGTAGAGGGGGGGGGCGGCGGGGGGCGGGGCCGGCATGAAGAGAGGTTGGTTGGTAAGTGGAAAGCGGTTTCTGAAGTGAGATGTGTACTTTTTTTTGTCGAATTTGCACATGTACATTTCAAGCCGTGGTGAAGAGCACGAATCTTGACGCGGACGAATCACAAACACGCGCAAACCGAGTCGCACGTGCAAGAAGGGTCACACTGTCGTGCTAATCCCCCCGGGGGATTTGCTTTGCAGGTGCGCGAGCGGGAGGAGGAGATCTCGGCGCTGCTGTTGAGGGTCGGGGCATCCGAGAGCCGCTCCAGGAGGCTGTCCGAGGACAAGGCGGAGCGGTTGAGGTAATATAGGCCGTTGGACCAGGAGACGATCACATGCTAAAGCTAGTAGCGTGCTTCTGAAGCTTCGAAGTGCATGCATGCCTTTGGGCGATGCTAACGCTGTCCCTTGGATCTTGTCTGATGCATTCCTCGTGTCTTTTCCCGCGAGTGTTTTGTGTTTTGGGCAGCGAGAGGCTGTCGGGAGGACGACAACAAACTCTCGCCTTCTTTTCGTGCTACTGTTGGAGCGACGAGCAGGGACTCGAGATGGCTGCGGAGCATCGAAATTATATAGATAGAAACGGTGTTGCACGGCAGTGGGGCACTCCAAAACAAAACTGCTCGACTTGGTGTCGTGTTTTCTCCATGTTGGTTGGCATGGACTCGTGCCTGAATAAATCTTTGCACGTTTTCTGTTGAGAACCTCGTGCCCCACGGGCTGCGTGTGGTAGAGGTGGCAGGAACCGGCATTCAGAAAGTACTTATCCTTGTCATTCTTTGTTTCGTATGCTCCGAGTGTGGGATATGTGGTTGCTCGATAATGTTATTTCTGCCCTTTTCTTTGATTTCTCTGTGTTCGTAGATAGCTTTCGCGCCTATGTGTCATTTTCCTTGCAACGGCGTGAAGCGGGGGCGAGAGAGAGCCTGGTCGGCGATGTGTAACCTTGCATGGAGTACTACGGCATTATTCGGATAGTGGGCGATAAAGTCGACTTATGTCGATCTTCGAATGAAGCGAACAGGTATCTCCCGTGACTTGATCTCAACAACCCCCCGCACACACATTTGTGTAAGGTCAAGCAACATGAATAGTGCATTCAACTGCGGCAAATATCCCCTGGCCTTGCAGGGGTTGAGAATAGAATCAGTCGAGGTCGTTGTGTTGGTTGGTGTTGTTCGAGGTGTTCGGTTCGTTTCTTTTGTTTTGGTTGGACATGCGTGTCGAGAGGTCTCCGTTGTCCGACATGTCACCTGCTGCCAGTGTGGCTTTCCGGAACCCTCTGTTTGTTTTCCATTGTCACGTTTGCTTTGCTTTTTGTCTGCGACCCTGTCACTATCTCATCGATTTATCACATCACATCATACCTTCTCTCTATCCCCTGTGTTGGCGAGCCTGCTATCACGGCAGGCGCCCGCGTCATTTGGACCCGCACGGATGTATTGATGGCAACGAGCAGAGATCGGAATTGTGTTTCATGTGTACAAACAGCAGCAGCAACAACAACCGTGCCAAGTCGCTGCCATACCCCCTTTCAACCTCGTTGGAATCAACCAGGGAGGTGGAAGAGGCGGCGGTTAAGTCCCTTGAGGCGGCGGAGCGGCGGCGGGCGGAGTGGGAGAACAAGGCCTCGGCAATCGCCGCGAGGCTGCGGGAACGCGAAGCGGAGGTTGGTGATTGGACGCCTTGTTACTGTTTTTTGTGGTGGTGTTGTCTTTGGAGTCGGTGTGACATTGTGAGGCACGGGCTAAGACCCTCCCACCACGGTCGCCCCCGCCCCCGCCAAAGGTAATGACCATCCTAAATTTCAACCTCCTTGTCTTTTGTAGGAGTGTATGTGGCATGCCTATTCCAATCCGCCGAGCTGTAAAGACTGGACGACCGCCTCTTTTTTCACGACTCTGTCTGTCTGTCTGTCTGTCTCTCTCTCTCTCTGCTCGTTGCCATCAATACATCCGAGCAGAGAAGGGTCATATTCTCTATCTTGCGAACTTCCGGACGCATTGTTTTCCATCTGTTGCTCTTCACCCCTTGGTCGCGTTATTTCTGTCTCCCTTGTCCCTCTTCTCACGTTGTCGTCCGCCCCTCTTGTTCACGACGTCCCCCTTATTTGTCGCTGCCATCCCCGCCTCCTCGTCTTCCAACTCCTCCCCGTCTTCATTCCCCCCCCCCCATCCCCCCACCCCCGCTGTTTGCCATCGGGGTTGGGGTTTCGTCGCTTGGCAACGACGTTGTAAAACGAGCCAATTCACTTCGTGGACTCGGCAACCAGGTTACCGTTTTTCTTTTTTACCTCTGTTTTTTTT